GTTAAAGAATGCATATTACGGCTGCGGAGGACAAAAATAAGAAATCGGATGAACAATATATATCTGAGCTATAGCTATATCTGAACCGATTTCGATCAAATTTAGCATACTTATTTTCAGGTCCAATCTGATCGTACGTGCAAAATTCCATACTATTCGGACTGATATTACACGTTTGGTGCACAATAAAATGCAAATCGGACGAAGATATATATGGGAGCTATATCTAAAATTTTGACCGGTTATCTCCAATTTATAAAATAGGGTTCGACCTTGGGCCAAACAAATGATTGTGATAGGGCAATAAATGCGAACTGTACTTTGTTTACAAAAATACATGGACAGACGGACGGACGGACATGCATAAATCGACTCAGAATGTGATTCTATGCAGATCATCAAAAGGAACTATGGGTCTACCTCGTTTCCTTTTGGCTGTTACAAACAAATGCACAAAGACATAATACCCTGACCACCTTGTGGTGTAGGGTATAATTAATTTGATCCCTTATATGAGGATAAGATTGATATATACTTTTTAATGGATTTTTATACCACATTCACACATTCGAAGTCCACGGTTTAAATATTGAAGCCCACGGCTAATTATAGGTTCAGGTATTTTAAAACACTTTTAATCCACCAGTACGTGAACATATATCAGTCATATCTGTGAATAATTATGCTTTGACAAATACGCATATAGACAAAAACTACGGGCTGGCAACGCGGACTGGCCAGCTTGTTTCAGATAATCCCATAGAAAAATGTGGCTAAAATGGCTTAAAATCTATATAGACAATTCTCCTTCAGGGGGTAAAGTACTCACAAAGAATTCCTTGAATTTCAGAAAATTTCATCGAAAAATGTGTCTAAAATAATTAAAATACCGAATATCGCGGGTACCGTTATCGGCTGTTATGGCGGCCCACACCATCACCATGGCCGGCGCTTGAGTTCTGGTGGCCAACCTGACCTCTTTGGCAATTAAACACGATCATTTTGTTTGTTTACAAACTGTTGGACAACGAATATTTCCTCATCGGAGAAAACCAAATTCGGCTCTGTTGAGTCTATTTTCTTTCTGTTGCGGTGTAAGTTCTTGCACTTTTTGAATATTTCCAAATAGAATATTGCGATATGCTCAGCTCACGATCCATTTTTCGGCCACTGCGACGAGGGTTTCGATCAAGTCGCTTCTTAACTTTTCGAACCATTTCTGCTGATGTTGCTGTTTTCTTTCGTCCACTTCCTTGACGTCGGGCTGCGCTACCAATATCACGGTAACGAGCGATGGTACAAGACACTAAAGATTTATTCACATTTAAATGCTAAAGTGCTCTAACGATAGTCACTTGTGGTTTTCTAGCCAAATATAAAGAAATCACACTAACACCCTTGAATTCGTGATGGAAAAACTTTTTTTCTGGAAAATTCTCACCAAAATGCTTTTGTACGCTTGTAAACAATAAAATGTGCTGTCACTGGAATAATTTTAACAGCTGCAAATGCCAGCAGTCTGAAGTTGGTTGCAGTTTTTCATCTCACCCTTTATTGCAGCAAAGATTCCGCCCTTAACGAACAAATTCACAAAATATTTTCCTCAATATTTACATTTATTCCAATTAACACTGATTAACAACTAAGGCAAGACGTCTCAACAAACAGTTGCCTTACAAGTGTTTGACGGCATAAGCGGCTGGGGCAACAACGGGAGCAGCAGCAACGACTGGGGCAGCCTTCACTACGGGAGCGGCGGCAACAACGGGGGCAACAGCAACGAGAGGATCACGACGGACGACGGCATTGAAACCATTGACGGGATCGGCAACATAGCTAACGGTACGTTTATAACCGTCAGCATCGATCAAAGAGTATTCACCGCGAACAAAATCACCATCACGTTCCTCAACATGGCCCTTGTTGTCACCGGATAGAGCATCTTGCACATCATAACCATATTTGTATTGTGGATGGGGATCGTATTCCTCAAGTTCGACAGTCTTGGCCAAAACGGGAGCACTGGGTACAATGACAGCAGCGCTAGCGGCAGCAATGAAAGCGAGAGCGATAACGACCTGAAAGTAATGACATTTTATTAGATTCAACACTACACACATTTTTTTGTTTTCTTTTTCAGCCAAAGTGTTTGTTTGAACACCTAATTTTATTTATTTGATTGCGGCAATTATATCTTGTACATACCTTGTATGCCATTTTAGTTGAATTGAGTTTTGGTTTAGTTGTTCTTTACACCTTGTGTACTTAACACTGAATGTGTTTGCTGAGAATGGAGGGTCAATAATTTATAGTTAATATTTTGTCATTGAGACCTCTTCATTGTTATTCAAAGTGATGGCCAAAACCAAAGCTACAGTCGTTTTATTGAAATTCGATTAATTCTTTATATTATGGTATTTGCCCGGAATAAAAAAAAATTGTCATGATTTTTTAAATATGTAACGTATGTTCAAACTTGGAGTAATAAATTTATAAAGCATCAAGTTCAAATAAATGTATATTTAATAGGAAAAAATAGGAAATAGTCACCACCATTCATTGATAAAATGATGCTAAAAACCCGTTGTATTTTTAAAACCGCACGTCAATCGCATCGACCTACTCCAACATGAATTTTGTAGGGGAGTCAAAAGACAAAAAAATGAGATTATTACAAAAATTGCCCACTTCCACTAAAAAAATTGCAACAAAGTCAAACGGCATAATTTTTACATTTTAAATAAAATTTTAAATTTTATTGAATGAAAGCAAAAAAATATATGAAATAGCATCAAATTTTAGACTAAGTTTAGATTTGTTCGAATTGGTCACCTTTGGCACGAATTATGGCCTTTAAACGGCCAATGAAATCGCCACACTGCCCGAATGCTGCTCTACGGAATTTTGGCCCATTCCCGGCGAACCGCTTGCTTGAGGCGATCGACACTTTATGCCAATTTTATTTAAATTTTTTAGTGCCAATCTTGCTTTCCAAAATACTCCAGACACAATAACCCAACGGATTAGCATCTGGAGATTTTGGTGGTCATTGTGCGCTGGAAATGAAGCGAGGAACCTCAATTTGTAACCTTTTTGGGTGGCGCGGGCCGAGTGCGAGTACCGAAGGTAGACATTTTCAGCTGACCTCTTTGGCAATTAAACACGATCATTTTGTTTGTTTACAAACTGCTGGACAACAAATGTTTTCTCATCGGAGAAAACAAAATTCGGCAGTTCGCCACTTTCGGCCAAACGAAGAAACTCTTTAGCTTTTTGAGTCTATTTTCTTTCTGCTGCGGTGTAAGTTCTTGCACTTTTTGAAACTTCAATGGCTTTACCCCGAGCTCATTTTTCAAAATTTGCAAATGGAATATTGCGATATGCTCAGCTCTGGAGCCATTTTTCGGCCACTGCGACGAGGGTTTCGATCAAATCGATTCTTTACTTTTCGAACCATTTATGCTGATGTTGTTTTTTTCTTCCGTCCACTTCGGGCTATGCTACCAGTATCACGGTAACGAGCTATGGTACGAGACACAAAAGATTTATTCACATTTAAATGCTGGAGTGCTTTAGCGATAGCCACTTGTGATTTTCCAGCCATATATAAAGAAATCATATTATCACGCTTGAATTCGATCACGAATAACTTTTTTTCGGGAAAATTCTCACCAAAATGCTTTTCTACGCTTTTAAACAATATAATGAGCTGTCACTGGAATAATTTTAACAACTGTAGGACGAGTGGCTTAGAAATAGGTTAGGTTAGGTTGAAAAGAGGGGCGAAGCAATTCGGCGCATGCCCTGTTGGGTATACACTTAAGCCACCCTGTTGTGCGCTCTATACTAAGGGCTTTTTGAAGAAGGCGGATAGTTTATAGTTCGTTATATTTGAAATGCAGTTGCCTTTATGAAATTTCTTTACTGTCTTAAATAATTTACCATGGTCTGATTAAAGTCTGGTACGGAGTCGTTCCCTAAGAATTGGGATCTGATATTTGCAAACGCTGGGGTTTGGCAGAGAAAATGTTTCAATGTTTCGTCATCTTCCCCACATGCCCTGCATATGCTATTTTCTGCACAACCTATCTTGTGCAGATGAGTTTGTAGGCCCAGGTACCCCGTAAGGATATCTGTCCTCACGGATCTCTTTTTTACCTAGTAATAAAAGGTTCTTCGTTTCATCCGCTTGACGTTTATTGAGCATCCATTGTCTAATGTCAGTCAAAGTAGGATGGATTTTGACACAAATTCGGTAAAAATCGTTTTAAATATAACCATAGCTCCGATATTTATCTTTTTATTTCATATTATGTTGACACCGCCCGACTTTTTCCTTTCTTGCACACCATGCACTCAACCAATCTTACGAACATTAAATGTTATTTAGATTTGTGTATTGCGATTTCTTTCACGTAAAACCGAAATGGAATAACTAGACAAAAAATATTATACGCCAATCAAGAACACCCGATCAGAAATGGAATGAATTATGTATGAAAAGACCAAATATGTATTTTCTCGAACTTATTTTGAATGGTATAAATATTATCCTACTAAAAATTCAGTCACAGTAGTATGAAGTGTAGGGTATTTACTGAACCATGATTACTTTTATTTCAGATATTTTCAAAATTATTTCCCTTATTTAGTTCTACATACCATCCACATTCCAAAGCATAAGACCTCAACATTGACAATTTTAAGTACTTTTATTTGACCTTCAAATGAATTAACGGAATTATTGATATAGGTCAGATCAAAAGAATACTAAATAGCTTCTGTTTTACGATTAAAAGTACAAAAATATACCTTGCATTTTGTGCAGTATTAATCAATAATATTATACATACGAACATTTTTTCATATTTTAATTCACCGTACAAATTTGAAGGGTGGTACTTTGAATAATAATGAAGATGATTCAATGTCGCATAATGTACTATAAATTGATGGCCCTCTGCTCCCAGAAGTCACATTCAGTGTATTAAACACCAAGTGTAAAGAACAATTAAACAAAAATAAAAACCAATTTATTAACAATGGCTTGCAAGGTGAGTAGATCAATATTCGAGGAGTGAGGGAACGGGAAAATTAAATAAACAATAACAATTTAACAAATAATAATAAACAAAGTAAAATTTGTGGAAAAAACAATAATTATAACCTAATTTTAATTTCCCTTACAGTTTGTGATTGCTCTCGCTTTTGTCGCTGCCGCCAGCGCTGCTGTCATCGTACCCAGTGCTCCCGTTTTGGCCAAGACTGTCGAACTTGAGGAATACGATCCCCATCCCCAATACAAATATGGTTATGATGTGCAAGATGCTCTCTCCGGTGACAACAAGGGTCATGTTGAGGAACGTGATGGTGATTTTGTTCGCGGTGAATACTCTTTGATCGATGCTGATGGTTACAAACGTACCGTTAGCTATGTTGCCGATCCCGTCAATGGTTTCAATGCTGTCGTCCGTCGTGATCCCCTTGTTGCTGCTGCCCCCGTTGTTGCCGCCGCTCCCGTAGTTAAGGCTGCCCCCGTTGTTGCTGCTGCTCCCGTTGTTGCCCCAGCCGCTTATGCCGTCAGACATTTGTAAGGAAACTGCTTGTTAAGACTTGCTGCTTTTGTTGTTGATCAGTTTTAGTTTAAAATAAAAATATATTTTTTAAAAAAAAGTTTTTTCTTCTTTATGTCACTATAAGAGCTGCAAAGTGTAGGTAAAGTCATAAATTGGAATAGTATTGGTTAATAATGGTTGAATTATTCAACATAACTCTTACCAATAATGTAAGTAGCCATCTTGGAAAAATTATCTGATATGGGTACCTTATCCAAAGGCTATAATCAATAACGCAGCGACCTCTGCACTGTACAAAAGTACATAAAGTACTGTAAAAAAAATACAATTGTAAAAAAGTAAAATTGTTATTGAGATTTCAGAATCCAAAATGTGGAAAAAATTCAATATTAGTTCAGGATAATATGAACAACGACGTGGAAGGTCCGGATTATTTGTCGCACAGTGATTCAGATTTTAATTTTTTGGGACAAACCGTAATAAAAAAGCATCTAAGCGAAATTAGCGTCCGAAACATTCCATACTCGGTACATCTCAATATTTCTGGTGTAAAGATGGAATATATCGGTCCACACTTTTAGGAACCCACCACTTAGCGTGTAATATTTTTCGATAATAATATCTCTCATTTAATGCGAAATGAGGATCCGATTCTCATCAAATTTCACATATCACAATATTTTTAATAACAAACGATCCGTTGTAAAGATGTTAAATCCCGGACCATTCCTTCTTGTATCTCCCCACAAAGGGGTCAGAATTTTATGTAACAAAACGCTCATGCAAAATAAGCCTCTGATTCTCTTCAATTTCATATATCCATATAACGGTGCCTCCCGATATTGGGTATTTTGATGATTTATGCCACAATTTTGCACGGATTAATCTATAAATTGGTATTTGTTGGTCATAGCATAGCAAATAGCATTTATAGATCCACGATTGGGTATAGCCCTCATATAACGGCACCTCCCGATATTCGGTATTTTGATGGTTATTGCCACATTTTTCACTGATTTGTCCAAAAATTGTATTTGTAGATCATAATGGGTCCTAGTTCGTGTGTCGAAACATTGTATGTATAGGTCCACGTTTTGGTATAGTCCCCATATAAGGGTACCTCCCGATATTCGGTATTTTGATGATTTTGCCACAATTTTTCACGGATTTGTCTGAAAATTGGTATTTGTAAGTCATAATGGGTTCTAGCTCCTTTGGCGAAACATTGTAATTATAGGTCCACGTTTTGGTATAGTCCCCATATAACGGTACCTCCCGATATTCGGTATTTTGATGATTTATGCCACATTTTTTTTTCACGTATTTGTCTGAAAATTGGTATTTGTAGGTCGTAATGGGTTCTAGCTCCGTTAGCGGAACCTTGCATGTGTGGGTCCACGATTTGGTATAACCCCCATATAAAGGTACCTCCCGATATTCGGTGTTTTAATGATTTTTGCCACATTTCTTCGCGGATTTGTCTAGAAATTGGTATTTGTTGGTCTTAATGGGTTATAGCTCTTTTGGCGAAACACTTCATGTATAGGTCCACGTTTTTGTATAGCCCCATATAGCCGTATTTCCCGATATTCGGTATTTTTATAACTTTTGGCACATTTTCCCATGAATATGTCTAAAAATTGGTATATAGACTCTAATGTTTCCTTTACCCTAACGTGGAGGGTATTAAAAGTTTGGCCCGGCCGAACTTGTTTTTTTTTGAAATTTATATGTGGGAGCTATAGCTTTATCTGAACCGATTTTGACACAATTACTTCTAAGGTGAATTCAGTAGGATGTGCCGAAATTCCTCCACGTTGGAATATATATACAGGGTGAGATGAAAAAACTGCAACCAATTTCAGACTGCTAAGCAATTCGTCCGACAACTGTTAAAATTATTCCTGCGACAGCTCATTATATTGTTTACAAGCGTACAAAAGCATTTTGGTGAGAATTTTCCAAAAAAAAAGTTATTCGTGATGGAATTCAAGCGTGATAGTGTGATTTCTTTATATTTGGCTGGAGAACCACAAGTGGCTATTTAAATGTGAATAAATCTTTTGTGTCTTGTACCATCGCTCATTACCGCGATACTGGTAGCGTAGCCCGACGTCAGGGAAGTGGACGGAAAAAAACAGCAACATCAGCAGAAATGGCTCGAAAAGTAAAGAAGTTACTTGATCGAAACCCGCGTCGCAGTAGTCGAGATATGAATCGTGTGCTCAACATATCGCAATATTCCATTCGACAAATATTAAAAAATGAGGTCGGGGTGAAGCCATTGAAATTTCAAAAACTGCAAAAATTTACACCGCAACTGAAAGAAAATAGTCCCAAAGAGCTAAAGAGTTGCACCGCTTTGTGAACTGGTTTTCTCCGATTAGAAAACATCCGTTATCCAGCAGGTTGTAAACAAACAAAATGATCGTGTTTACTTGCCAATGAGGTCAGCTGAAAATGTCTACCTTCGGTTGGCCACCAGAACTCAAGCGCAGACCATGGTGATGGTGTGAGCCGCCATAACAGCCGATGGTCGCTCTCCGCTCGAATTAATCGACCGTGGCATCAGAATAAATGCCGAATATTATCGCGAAAATATTCTAGAGGGTGTATTTAAGCCTTGGGCACTCTAACAGGAATCAGCACCATTGAACTCGGCCCGCTCCACCCAAAAAGGTTACAAATTGAATTTCCTCGTTTCATTTCCAGCGCACAATGGCCACCAAAATCCCCGGATACCTATCCGTTGCACTACTGTCTATCACCTTAAGTAAGCGCTTCGCCGGGAATGGGCCAAAATACCGCAGAGTAACATTCGGGCAGCGTGTCACGGTTTCATTGGCCGAATCCGAACAAATCTAAACTTATTCTAAATGTTGATGCTTTTTCCGACATTTTTTGCTTTCGTTCAATAAAATTAAAAAAAATGTAAAAATTATGGCGATGACTTTGTTGCAATTTTTTATCTCACCCGAAAATGTACAAAAAATGTCATAAAAATAACCATTTCAAAGGGCGTACGGCGAACAGCTCTGTGCAATTATATAATTATGTAAAATATCAATGTATCTGTAAAAGGTCAAAGGTAAAATGTGAGCTCTTTTAGAATAACACACCAATGCAACAAACAGTTCGAACAATGACAATTGTTATAACTCAGGACGAGTTAGCTAGCTTATCCGATTTTTGGTTTGATGTACCCAATTCGACTTTAGTTTAAGTCTGTTGTTTTTATTTAAGTTAATCGATATGAGCAATTTTTGAAACCTTTGAAAAACATTAGACTACATCATTAATTTTTTATATCACATTTATTAAGATTTAGATTAAACAAAAACTAGTCAACAACTGGAGCTACAAAAAGCTAAGCCCTATATCAAATTACAAATTGCTTACGGCATAGCCGGCTGGAACAGCATAGTTGAAAGGAGCACCAACATATGGGGCAGGGGCAGCTACGTATGGAGCAGAAGCGGCAACATATGGGGCTGGGGCGGCAACATAGGGAGCGGGGGCAGCAGCAACAAGAGGAGCAGCGGCTTTAACAAATGGAGCGGTGGCAGAGTAGGTTACGGCAGCATTTAATGGAGCAGCAGCCACGAAAGGAGCAGCCTTAACAATTGGGGCAGGAGCAGCTACAACAGAAGCAGCCTTAACAATTGGAGCAGCTACTGGGGCGGGGGCAGCTACAAGGGGAGCAGCTTTGACAATTGGGGCGGGAGCAGCTACAGGAGCAGCAGCAACAACGGGAGCAGCCTTGACAACTGGGGCCGCTACTGGAGCAGCAGCAACAACGGGAGCTGCCTTAACTACTGGGGCAGCAGCAACAACGGGAGCTGCCTTAACTACTGGGGCAGCAGCAACAACGGGAGCGGCGGCAACGATGGGTTCACGACGAACAACAGCATTAAAACCATTGACAGGATCAGCAACATAGGTAACAGTACGCTTGAAACCGTCAGCATCAATTACCGAGTATTCACCGCGAACTACATCGCCATCGCGTTCCTCCACATGACCCTTGGAATCACCAGAAAGGCTATCCTTTACATCATAACCATATTTGTATTGGGGATGGGGATCGAATTCCTCGAGATCGGCACTCTTTGCCAAGACGGGAGCGCTGGGTACAACAGCAGCGGCGCTGGCGGCAGCAACAAAAGCGAGGACAATAACAAACTGTAAAAGACATTTCATTGGAATCAAAAATCCTTAAAAAATATTTTCAGTCACTTCAATGCAGGTGTGGTGCACCCACCTTGTAAGCCATTGCTTCAGGTTTGAGCTTTGTTTAATCACTTAATTGTTCTTTACACGAAGTGTACTAAACTGTGAATATGTTTGGCCAGCGTCGATGGTCAGAAATTTATAGCCGCAGTCGTGCCATTGAAGCGTCTTCATTAACATTCAAAGCGTCACTCGCTGGTGGACGTTTGGTAGTTTTTTTCCAACACAGTTTTCATGAGGTCGAACCGGCGGACAAGTGCAAAATTCTTCCACATTTGGTAGAATGTTTTTCGATTTTTAATAAACTTTATTGTTAATGCCTCACCTACGCTGTCACATTTATTATACATACACACATACTCGTAAAGAAAATTGTGTGGTACATGGTTTACGTACATAGGTATGTTGTTATGAAACTGATATAAGTATGTGACCTTGAGAAACGCAGCCAAAATTGAAAGTAATAGTTAGACTTGTAGAATTAATAAAAATCCATTGCATTTTGCAGAGAGAGAATAAATAAATGAAAAATGTGCAGTTTCGCATGGGTTCAATGGACGAGACTTTTATATTCAAATAAACTAGACAGTTTTGAAGAAGAGACTTTGTTTGTCTTTCTATTCATAATAATGTTGCTAGGTTTTTAAGCCTTCGAACTGCGGTAGTTTTCGAAATTTGACTTATATGCACGAAAAGTATTAAACGCTACTATTATATAGAGCTGGAATGGAGATTTGTAGGATTTATATGTACTAAATTTGGTACAATTGGGATTTGGGTGAACCAATTAATTGGGAATTAAGATTTCTGTTGGGGTGAAGGATATAGGATAGGGTATAGGATTGGGATATGGAGGTAGTTTTGGAAATGTGTACTAAATATGGTAAAATTTTTATTTTAGGTGAACCTATAGAGCTGTAATCCTGAAATTTGGCATTTAAATAACCCTTGATACAAAATGATACAATTTGGATGAACTGATAGGGGTGGTATCCTGAAATTTGGAATTGGGATTATAGTGGAAGTGTAGGATTGGGGTATGTAGGAAGGTTTAGAAGTTTGACAGATTGAAATAAAAAATAACTGCAACAAAGTAAAACGCCATAATTTTTACATTTTTTTTTTATAAATTTTATTGAATGAAAGCAAAAAAATGTCGGAAATAGCATCAACGTATAGAATAAATTAGCATCAACAAGTAAAAAAACATTAAGTTCGGCCGGGCCAAACTTTTAATACCCTCCACCTTAGGGTAAAGGAAACATAAGAAGAAATGTGGCAAAAACCATCAAAATACCGAATATCGGGAGGTACCGTTATATGGGGGCTATATCAAATCATGGACCTATACATACAATGTTTCGCCAACGGAGCTAGAACCCATTATGACTACAAATACCAATTTTCAGACAAATCCTTGAAAAAATGTGGCAGTAATCATCAAATTACCGAATGTCGGGAGGTACCGTTATATGGGGGCTATACCAAAACGTGGACCTAAAATTACAATGACTCGCCACAAGAACTGGGACCCATTATGATCTACAACTACCAATTTTCAGAGTAATTCTTGAAAAAATGTGTCAAAAATCATCAAAATACCGAATATTGGGAGGTACCGTTATATGGGGGCTATACCAAATCATGGACCCATACATGCAATGTTTCGCCACCGGAGCTGGAACCCACTATGACCAACAAATACTAATTTTTAGACAAATCCGTGAAAAAATGTGGCAAAAAAAAATTAAAATACCGAATATTGGGAGGTACCTTTATATGGGGGCTATACCAATATGTGTACCCATACATGCAATGTTTTGCCACACGCACAGGGACCCATTATGACCTACAAGTACCAATTTTCAGACAAATCCGTGAAAAAATGTGGCATAAATAATCAAAATACTGAATATCGGGAGGTACCATTATATGGGGACTATACCAGAACGTGGACCGATATATCTCATTTTCAATACCAACCATCCTAGACACAATACAAATAGCTCTGCTAAATTTTGGCGCTCTACGTCAAATAATGTGGGTTGTATCGTGATTTCAACAGACAGACGGACATACTTTATGGGGTCTACGACGAATTTTTAAGGATGTTACAAACGGAATGACAAAGTTATACCCTCCTTTCCAAGGTGGAGGGTATAATATATAAATGTAAATTTTTAAAGAGAAATAGTGGACCACAATACGTTCTCTTTAGGTTAACATTCTTTTCCCGCTTACGAAATAACGGGTGTTTGTTAATTACTAATTAATACAAAGCAATCAACTCGGAATTCTACAATATTTAGAGTTTAAAATGGACCAAAAACCTAAAAATTCTATAGATGTTGCAGTCGCAATACAGTTTTCAACTAAGGACCAGCCTTCAAGCGTATCATTTTGGATGGTCATCGGATAATGATTAGGTGCTGAAATGGACCACAATTTTGTCTGAAAAAATACAAAAATTAAGTTAATCACAAAAACATGAAAGGGGTACCTTTGACCTTTACATTGGTGCTGATTCGTTAACGAATATAGCCAAATATCCGAGATACATGAGTACCCATTAACACGACCTAAGACAAAGATTTGCATGACATCGTGGTTTCGGTAAAAAGCCAAGATACAATTTTTCCAGGACTACGTTAAATTTTTTCAAGAATGAAATGAAAATAAAATTCTCAATTTTTGAAAGTTAAATTTCTGTTTTTTTTTTTTTTTTTTGTCTCTTATAGACCGATTTTATTATTTGACGTAGTTGGAACATCTGCTTCGCCAAATACCGATGCCCTTTTAGAGATTGTATGTTTTTGGACAATTTTGCTTCACGATCTACAATTATTATTCGAAAAGAGAAACAACTAAGTTGTTGGGTATCAAATGGTCGGCCCTGCCCGAGTATAGCCTTTGCTTATTTGTTACTGTGTAGCCCCATAGCTACCTCAGTATTCGTTTATTTTATCTATTTTCTAAAGCAATCTTTTGAAATTTGTGTTTGAAGTTTTTATCGAATATAAATGAATTTCCGATGGAATTTTTTGAATTTGGTATTCGGCCTTCCTAATTGCTACTAAGTCCACTAGTAAAAAAATTCTATGTAGATCCCTATTTTTCTATAGAAATCCCTGTATTCCACATTTTGATGATTTTATCGTCATTTTCCAACGGATTTTTTTCTTCTAATAATTATTTATTAATTTATTAATAGATTAAACAAAAACTAATCAACAACGATAACCACTAAGTTAACAATATACTCGCTTAAAAACTGCGGACAGCATATCCATAGTTGAAGGGAGCAGCAGCTACATAAGGACCACTGGGAACATAGGCGGGTGGTGCGGCTACTACAGGAGCAGCGGCCTTAACAAAGGGTGCTGTGGCAGAATAGGTCACGGAGGAACTGAATGGAGCAGCAGGTACAAAAGGAGCTGCTTTAACAACTGGTGCTGGAGCAAAGACTGGGGCCGGTCTGACAACTGGAGCTGGAGCGAAGACAGGAGCTGCCTTGACTACTGGAGCCGGGGCAAAAACTGGAGCAGTTCTGACCACTGGAGCGGGGGCAAAGACTGGAGCAGTTCTCACCACTGGAGCTGGAGCAACAACAGGGGCGGCAGCTCTCAAGACTGGAGCAGGAGCAACAACAGGAGCAGCAGCTCTTAAGACTGGGGCCGGAGCAACAACAGGAGCAGGGGCGGCAGCAACAACGGGAGCAGCGGCAACGATGGGTTCACGACGGACAACGGCATTGAAACCATTGACGGGATCGGCAACATAGGTCACGGTGCGTTTGTAACCATCAGCATCAATTACGGAGTATTCACCACGGACCACATCGCCATCGCGTTCCTCAACATGTCCTTTGTTGTCACCAGAAATTGCGTCTTTAATATCGTAACCGTATTTGTATTGGGGATGGGGATCGAATTCTTCGAGGGCAACTGCCTTAGCCAAAACTGGGGCGCCGGGCACAACAACAGCGGCGCTGGCTGCAGCAATCAAAGCGAGGACGATCACAAACTAAACGGAAAAAACAACATTTAAAATTAATTATTTTTTTGAGTTTTAAAGGAACCACTTTTTATCAACTGAATGTCCTTTTCATATACGTATAGGATCTTTTTTAATTTTAACACACACACCTTAAGGGCCATTGTTTTTTTGCTTAGATTTATTTAAAGTTTTGTTTAATCAAAAATTCGTTCTTTACACCGGGTGCACAACACACTGACTGTGTCTTTTCCTAGAAAAGGGCTCATATTTTATAGTAGATTGTTATTTCTTTTCTATGTCCGGTATATGCTCATTAATATTCATAACGCCGTTTAATAACAATATCCAATTGACAAAATGCATGGGAACGTTTAGTCGGACCATACTAATCTAAGTTGGGTAACATTACATTTGCTATTTTCAAATCGGTAAATGCCCAAAACTTTTCAAAGAAGTCTTCAACGAATTACTGAAAATATTTGTTAAGTAACCAACAAAAATTAACTGTATGTGTCGGTGGTAAACCGAAAAATGTCATAAACCTTGATTGATTTGATAACAGCACCATAAAAATATTAGCTACTGTTTTAACGTTAATAAAACTGCTAATATTTGGAAACAGTTTTGGGCCATTGAATCAATACGGTGCATTTTATGGTAAAAATAAAATTATTAAAAAATGTGATTTCATCTTCTTCAAAGACACAGTCCGTAGATATTCAAAGAATTTTCTAAACTTCTCGAAGGACTCAAATTAAAATATCCCTTAAAATCAGAATTATGGATGTGTATTTCTTATAAAGTGGAAAGGTATCTCTTACTCCATGTAGACTATATGTTATTTCTAAATTGTTAGGGTTAAACCCATTTCTGATGTTTATACCCTACAACACTATGTGTTGGGGGTATTTTAAGTTTAATTAGGCCAACAATTATGTAACACCTCGAAATATTGGTTTCGCACATAAGAAAGGATATATGGATCTTCCTATTTCGCCAAGCTGTGTCGATCTAGCTATGTACGTCCGTCTGCCTTTGTTAACTTGTAATCAAGATAGAGATCGCAGTTATGGCCTGATCCTCACGAAATTGTACATGGAGGTGGGGTTATGGTCAGAATAGATAGGAGATGATCGCATAATATTGAAATGGACCAAAAAAGAAAAAATCCTGATTTTGCAGTTTCGACGGAAATTAGCGTGAAGCTAGAGCTTAGTGCTGGGCAGAAGCCTTCTAATTTTGATGGTCATCGGATAATATTTAGTGGGTGAAATAGACTATAACATTTGTGTTAAATAAAAGTCAAATAGACGAAAAGGTCAATTCTGACCGTTACGTAGATGCCGATAGTAAATATATCGGAGATATATAGCGAAATATATACAATGTATATACAAAGAAAGCGGATGTTAGCTAGAATTCTTATATTTTAAGAATGGCTGGACCGTTTTCATATTTTTTATCGCATGCGATTTTTCAATTTGACTTTTTTTTATTTTTTCACCTTACTTATTATATACAGTCTGCGATTATCGTCCGATCCTCACGAAAAAGGGTAGGGTTAGGCACAGAAGGGCTAGGCCTATTGTTTTCAAAGATGTCCGCAATATATTTAAGGGTTGAAATGGACCAAAAACTAAAAATGTTCCTGATTTTGCAGCCGTTATAAAGGTCACAAACAGAAACCAAAGGACACGAAATCTCGCATGAAGTTAGTGTTTAGGACAACGGGTAGAATGGACCACTACTTTTGTGTGAAAAAAATACCAACATTACTTACAGGCGATATCTGAAGTACATCAAAGGCAAACTTCTGGCTTTTTATATCCTCCACCAAAAATAGTATGGAGGGTATATTAAGTTCGTCATTCCGTTTGTAACTCATCGAAATAATCATTTTAGACCCAACAAAGTATATATACTTGATCAGCGTAAAATTCTAAGACAATTTAGCCCTGTCCGTCTGTCTGTCTGTTGTAATCACGATACAGTCTAAACGAATTAAGATAGGAAGCTAAGCTTTGCACAGATCTCTCTTTTGTCTGCAGGCAGGTCAAGTTCGAAGATGGGCTATATCGGTCCACGATATCGTATAGCCCCCATATAACGGTACCCCCCGATATTCGGTATTTTGATGATTTTACCCACATTTTTCAACGGAATTGTCTGAAAATCCACACAAGGAGTTCCTAGTGAGCATTTTACCCCCTCAAAAAGAATTGTTTATATAGGTCCACGATATCGTATATCCCCCATATAACTGTACCCCCCGATATTCGGTATTTTGATGATGTTAGCCACACTTTTCAATGAAATTGTCTTAAAATCCACACAAGTAGTTCCTTGTGAGTACTTCACCCCCTGAGAGAGAATTGTTTATACTGGTCCACAATATCGTATATACCCCATATTACGGCACCCCCCGATATTCGGTATTTTGATGTTTTTAGCCACATTTTTCAACGGGATGATCACAAGGGGTTCTTTGTGAACACTTTACCCCCCGACAGAAAATTCTCTATATAGGTTAACGATAACGTATAGCTCCCATATAACGGTTCCCCGCGATATTCGGTATTTTGATGATTTAAGCCACATTTTCCAATCGTATTGTCTGAAAATCCACACACGGAGTTCTTTGTGAGCACTTTACCTCTGAAACGGAATTGTCTATATAGGTCCACAATATCGTTTATCCCCCATATAATGGTACTCCCCTATATTCGGTATTCTGATGATTTTAGCCACTTTTTCCAATGGAATTATCTGAAAATCCGCACAAGGAGTTCCTTGTGAGTACTTTGCACGCAGACATAGATTTGTCTTTATAGGCATCTTCCTATATTAGATATTTTAAAGATTTTAAAAGAATTTTTAATGGATTTTATTTTTTTGAAATTTTTTTAATTCGTTCCAAATGGTGGAGGGTATTCAAAGTTCGGCCCTGCCAAACTTACTGATTTTTTACTTGTTTATGCTGATTTCGTTGACGAATATGGCCAAATATCGTAGACAAGCAAATCAAGATGAGTCTAAATTTGGCGATACAGAGGGGCCTGAACCAAAAACTGAAAAAAAGCCAATCGACACGCCTCAAGCAAAGGATATATCCGTGCGGGGCCGACCATGTGATACCCTACAACACTACAATATGTTGGAAGCCCCTTATGTCTAAATCCACTTTGGATAATTTTCTTCTGGAAATAATGTCATAGAGCCCTGCCTACATGTTACCCTTAGATTTTTGACCGGGGACATTGCCCAATATTTGTGCACTCCGTTGTTAGGTATTCAAAACAATTTCACATAAAAGTTGTGGTGAATTTCACAATGGTTATCCAAAATGTTTAACTTCTTCCCTGTCCTTAACTCTCTCCTCATCCAAAATTCCGTGTCGATTGATTTTCAATTGTGACCTGTAGATCAAAAGCAAAATCAGGAATTGTTTCTTCTTTTGGCCCATTTGAATCACTAAATGTTCATCTTCCAAAACAATAGTCTTTAATTCTAACTCTAACCCTACCCCATGCAAAATTTCATGAGCATCGGAAGATAATTATCAACTGTATAACAACAACACATAGTGTTGGAGTCTAGAAAAATTTTGAAAATGTTTAATTCAAAATTGTAAGTCAAATAAAAAACCTCTCATGCGATAAAAAATATGACAAAAATTGGCTTAGTGGAAATTTTCGCATTTTCTTACATAAAATTAGGGTCTAGTTTTACCCGCTAAATATTGTCCGACGGCCAAGTTGGTAGGCTTCTGTCCAGCCCTAAACTCTAACTCCATGCATATTTCCGCGTCGACTCGTTTATAATTGTGGCCTATAGAGAAACTTCAAAATCAGAAAAATTTTCTAAATATTTTGCAATCATCTCCAAAACCAATAGGGTTCTATTCTGACCCTAACCCCACCTCTATTCTCAATTTCATGAGGATCGGGCCATAATTGCGTCCTATAGAGTGGTTACAAATATAGATGAACGGTCGAACATTCATAGCTAGATCGACAACAACGGGACGGTAACGCGGACCGGGCAGGCTAGTAAAATGTGAAAAAAATCCAATACAATTACCACTTTAGATGGAGCTCACTCTATTAAACAAAGATTGCCGAAATGTAAAATTAAATTTCATTCTGTTGGAGAAACATATTAAATATTCAAGGATACCGACATATAAAATACCAATTATCCATAGACGTACCAAGAAAGCAGTATATTTTAATTTGTTGTACTTCATAATATATCCTGATATGTCACCTAAAAGTTATTGCTTCGGATCGCCTAAATAAAATTTACCTGTGCTGTAAAAATATAACACAAAAAATTGTAGCAACTTCGGCAGGAAATTGTAGCCAAAAATCAGCCGGTACAGTAAACCATGGCAATATTTGAATCACGCTTAAATACAGCTGAACTTTACGCCATTTTTACTTGTAATCTTAACAAACCAACTACATGTTTTAAAATGCCACACAGACGTATTTACTTTCCAAAACCTTCACAATTATATGCCATCTGACCGCATCCGAGATTCCTTCTTAATTGGCCCTATAAGATTGCCAAAATCTGAAAAACAATCAAATAATTATAGGCCTTCACTTTGGCTCAAGCGTAGAGAAATCAATTAAATATTCACAAATTGATTTAAATAAGAGTCATTCGTTCATCCAACGACCAAACGCATTAAGGACCCCACAACAGATGAACAAACATAAACGATACCGACAACAAGTCATCCGAACCAAAATTATTTTGTACAATTGAAATGAAACGTGAAACATCCGAATCGATTTCAATATTAAGATAATTTTGAAGTTTCTGAATGAACTTACAATTGTACGTTGCATACGGTTTCATGTTCGTGGATGCTGCTGAAAGACCTTCAGGCCATCGCCCGTTTTTTAGGTCTCAATGCAAATGCATTCACACGTTTCCGCAACAGATAATAACGTGGCTATGCAATTCGTCCTGCCACTCGTCGTCAGGCACGATTGCAACAGACCGATAAACAAATTAACATTGAAATACAACAGACGAATGTATGATAGAGAGTGAAATCAGGTGGTAACAGGCGACACAAAGTGGTGAAGCGGTTGCAGCAATGTTGGGATTGTATCGTTCGAACGTCATGTTTTTTAATGTTTCTTCAGTC